GGCCTTACAGACCCCCCAGGCTCCTCTATAAATGCCCTCTCTGCTTCCCATAAAGGTCTCTGCAGTCATTATTCAGGCCCAAGGCCGCTGCATGTCATCTGTTGCTGGGATCAGGAATTCCATTGCAGAAGAGAAGGCCTGGGTTGGGGTGGAGATGAACTGATGGATCCCCATCTCCCCCACAGCTCCAGCTCTATGGCTCTAGCTTATCAAGATCAAAGCTGGGAAAGAACTTAAAATCCTCAATCACCTCCATGGAAGATGACTTGGGTACATGGGCAGCTGAGGAATGCAGGATCTGGTAGAACTGGACTTAAAGCCAGCTCCACCATTTATTTCTATCAGACTTGAGGTCCCTTAATTCCTGAATCAGTTTCTTTACCTCTAAAATGGAAGTGCTAATTCTCACTCCACACGTAGTTGGATGTGTCTTAAGTGGGATAATGCACAGTAAGCACTCAATAAATGTGAACTATCTATTGCTTATCGTTACGATCACCGGTGGTGTTATTACTATGGTGCTGAGGCCCAGAGGTGGCCTGTGAAGTGCTCAGGTTCATAGCAAGGGGAGCTGACGCCTGCAGCCCAGACTATGGGCTCTGTGTCACTGGAGTTGGTTTTGTTTTTTTTCACTTTGTAGCTCTCAGCCTTTGTTTCTGTGTTACCCTCTTTGTCTGACTTTCCAACTCAGGCTTCCTCTTCCCCCCACCCACTTCCTGTCTCCCCCTTCTCTGCAGCTGAGGTGCACACAGCATCAGCTTCCACTTCACAAACCCCAACACTGCTCTGTGGGCTCCCTTCCCCCAACCTGCTCACTCAGTGTAGCTCAGGCAGTGGTGACGCATTTATCCTTTCCTCTGGGTGGGGTCAAGGTCCAGCTCCTGGGCCTGATAAAGGCCACCTGGAGTGCCTCATAACACTATGACCTGGCTGGCCCTCAGCCTATGATGGGTGCCACCCTCAGTGTGGCCTCAGGGTAAAGGGAGATTCTTGACTTGCCTGCTGCTGTGACAAGGTTCCTGCCTCCTGCCTATAATACAGGGCTTCTCAACCTGTGGGTCGCGACCCCTTTGGGGGTCGAATGACCCTTTCACAGGGGTCGCCTAAGACCATCGGAAAACAAAAAGATATTTACATTACGATTCGTAACAGTAGCAAAATTACAGTTATAGAGTAGCAACGAAAATAATTTTATGGTTAGGGGTCACCACAACATGAGGAACTGTATTAAGGGGTCGCAGCATTAGGAAGGTTGAGAACCGCTGCTAGAAAATGCTGCCAGTCTGCTTCTTGCGTCTGGGTGCCTGGGAAGAAGTGTTTGTTCTGTCTTCCACCTGTTGTTGCAGGAGGTGGTGCCAGGCTCTGCACCTCTAATAGGACTGGTGGTCTTGCCACTACCTGAATTAGAATTGTTCCCCTACTCTCTAACCATAATCAGTGGGTGTTGTCCTGCCCTCTTAAAGAAACGGGGTTAGGGCCGGCCGAGTGGCGCGATGGTTAAGAACTGGCTTGGGATGCCAGAGGGCCCTGGTTCGGATCCCACATATGAGGGCCAGTGACACTGCCCTCCACAGCTAAGATGCTGAACAATAGCTCAACCTGGAGCTGGGCTGCCGTGAGTCGCCGGCGACGGCGTAGGCTGCAACCCCTGTGGCAGTGGGTTGTCATGGGCTACCGTATGTAGCCAGCAGCCAGCGTGAGCGGCCAGCAGCTGCAGTGAGTGGCCGTCCAGAAGCCGGCGACTGATCTGCCTCGCCTGGGAAGAGCGCAATGATGGTGCCAACTTGGGCCAGTGAAGCAACGTCCTCCACAACTAGACCGAAGAACAAAACGACAGCAACTTGTCTGTTCCCCTTCCCTAATTCCCCAGCACTGTTCCCATCCCCCCAGTTCCCCAATTAAAAAAAAAAATCTTAAAAAAAAAAAAGAAACGGGGTTATCCTGCCTTCTTCCTTAAACAGCTTGGTGTCCAGCATTCTGTCAGTAACAGAGGTGTTAGCCTACCCTCTGACAATAATAAAGCTATTGTCCTGTGCCCTGAGATAACATGGCTATTTTTCCGACTGTAGCAGCCATGTTAGCCTGATGTTTGAAACATGGGTGTTCTGCTCTCCAACTACTTATTGTCCTTTCCTTTGACCCTGAAATGATGTTACCTTTGCCCTCAGACTGTAATGAAAGGGTCTGTCAGCTCTCAGGCTGTGACAACAGTGCTTCTTGCCTTCCACTGACAACTGAGGGTGTGTCTGCTTGCCCCTGCACATTGGAGTTTAAAGGCTGCCCTTGAATCTCCTCTCCAGGTGTACCTGGAGGGCAGCAGGGAGGTTCCATCAAATATCCTCCCTTCACCTCCAAGTGCCACCCTCAGGGTGAGTAGGGCTGACCTGGAGGTGTACAGGACCCCCAGAGGGATGGGGGGCTATGGTGGCAGGAAGCTTGGGGTGCTGGAGGCTTGTGGTTGGGCTGCTGGGGCCCCGTTGGCTGCAGAGCCCTCAGGAGGAGGCAGGAAGTCAGGGTGGGACGTGGGCGCGAGAAGTCAGGTGGTGGCTATGACGGCGAGGGGAGCTGAAACTCTGCCTGGGCAGCCAGGCTGGGCCAGGAGGACCATGTGAATGGGGCCAGAGTGCTCCTGGGCTGGGCAGGTAAGGAATACTGGGAAAGGGGTCCATGGGGCTGGTGGGGGCCTGATAGCAGGGGCTGCAGCTGGGCATGGGGCCAGGCTCCTTGGGTATGCAGCAGCCCTTCAGGCTGGGGGGTGGAGGGGGAGAGACAGAAGAACTTTCCTGGAGGTCAGGTAGGAGGCATGCAGTACAGCCAGATCACCTCTTTCCTGCGTAGCTGTTGGCTCTTGGTTCTGCCCCAAGGCCGGCCTTCCGCCTCTACCTTACTGGGATATCTGGCACATGGACTGCCAGGTATTTAAAAGGCCTTCAGAAATCCCCAAGTCCAGTCCCTCATCTCATGATGGATGAGCCTCCTGAGTCCCAGACAGGGCAAAGGCACTTCCTTCTTGCTGTCTCTCAGCACAGCAGCGGCAGAGCCAGGTCCTGGGGAAGGGCGATGGTCTAGGGTGTGACCCCCACATGGAGCAGGGAGAGGAACAGGGTTGAGGCAAGGGATCCAGGAATCCTTCTGGTTTCTGGGGGCAGACCACAGTGACAAGAATCTCCTGAGAGAGATCGGAGTCACCCAGAGCATCCATGTGAATATATGTAAAGTGATTTTAGCCTCAGTGACCAGCATTGCTTGAGAGAGGGAGGTGTCTCCCCTTCGGAGCGGATGGATATGCGAAGGCACATTTATCATCTGGTATGGGACCTTCAGGACGGAAGTATCTGACCGCACACTGGTAAGTTGGCAAGGAGAAAATGGGGGGAGAAGGCGAGAGGAAGGGCTATTTTTATCCAGGACAAGGATGCAGTTGGCCATGGGCGAGGAACGTCTGAACTTCCATCTGGAAAGTTGCCATTCCTACCCCTGCCAAGTGTCACAGGATGTCCTTCCCTCTTCTCTTGCTCACTCCTGCTGCAGCCCCACACACAGCCCCTGCATATGTAGGGCCAGTTGGTCCTGGGGAATATTCCTGCTTGAAACCCCAGGGAGGCAGAATCAGCTACCTGCCCACCCCCTCACTATGTAACTCTCAGCCTTCACTTTATGGGGAGAGTCCCCACCTGCACCAAACTTTCCAGGTTTCCCCTGCCATTGGAGTTTTTCTTGACACACAATTTCCACCTAGTCAGCATGTCCCAGCCTTTCTCCTATCCCCAGTTCCAAGGCCTGCAGACTTTTGTGGGGGCTGGGGAACACGCTGGCTCCCCCTGCACTTCAGGGGGGCTTATCCCCATCCTGGACAGACAGGATGAGGAGGCCCCTCCCCCCCATCCAGCCTATGCTGATAGATGACTCAAGGCTCCTCAGCCCTGGGGCTCAGGGACAGAGGTCCTTCTCAAAGGGAAGAAGGGTCAAGTGATGGACAAGAAAACAGGCTGAGGGTTCAGAGAATGGGAAAAGACATCCCTTAGGTAACCTGGAAGGCTTCCTGGAAGAGTCAGGACAGTTCTGAGAAGGACAGAGTTCCATTTCGGAAAGTACTCCGGACATAAAGCCAAGATCACTGTCCCTGAGTTCTGTTCTTTGAGTATCAGGAGGTCAGAGACCTCAGAGCAAGATCAAATGCAAGAGAGTCAATGCAAAGAACACGCATTTCCGAGTCAGGCAGACCAAGGTACAATTCCGGTTCTGCCATTTCCTTGAACGAGTGACTTCAACTCTCCGAACTCCAGTTTACTTATCTGTAAAGAAGCAATAATGAACCGCTCTCTTACAGAGTGCTTGTGGGTAATCAAAGAATTAATCATGACTATGATGTGCCCTGTAATGGTCTAGGCTGTGACACCACCCCCTCCCCATGGAGAAGGGTGATGAACAGGCTTTTAAGTCAGGGGACCCAGGAATCCTTCTCACACATAGTAGGTGCTTAACAGAGGTTTGACACTCCCTCCTCCTGCAAGTAGTTTACCAAAGGGAAGGCTGTCCACACCCAGAATTACTCCTACTCAGCACCTTGGCAGGCCAGTGAACCACCCATTCCCTCAAACTTGTGGTGTAGCTTTGCAAATTAGCTTGTTTCCTGTGTGTAGTGGGTGTGAGAATTCTAGACTGGGCCACATATCTACCTTAGAGGAGGGTCCCACACGCACGCACACACACACACACCCTATCCCAAACACCATACA